GACCACATGTCATTCCCTTGAGTATTATTTCTTTCTTTACTAGGAATGCTTTTCAGCTATGGTGCAATGTTTTTTTCTATTTAAGACCACATATTATTCCCTTGAGTATATTTCTTTCTTTAATAGGAATGCTTTTCAACTTTTCCCATTTCAGACCAAGTTTCCTCCCCCTTGAGTATTATTTCTTTTATCACTATTGGTTTCTTTCATGCCAAGGAAAGGAATGTAATAATAATAAACACTAACCTTTGTTGGACAAACATCCCATGTTATACATCCTGGCATCCGTTGCTCCCATCCTTGGAATACAGTTCATCATACTCTCTTCTTGTTTATTCGTCGTACAGGGTACCTCAAGGTTTTGTTGTTGGACCCTTCTGTTCACAATACTGATAGGATCGTGAAACAATGGATGGATCAACTGAAGGTCTTCTATCACTTTGTGTTTAACATCAGGTGGAATTTGAGGAGCAATTCGCGGTGCTTCAAGCATTTGAAGTTGAGTTTTAGCTGGAACTACTTGTTCTTTAAGTACTGGTATATCTTGGAGGGCTGGTCTGAGGGGTGCAATATTCGACTGGGCGTGGCCTTGAGGGAGGGGTGCCACACAAGGCTGAGAAGGAGGTACACTTATTGGTGTCTGTACTGTTGTAACACTGACTGGCTGATCGTTTTGAGAGGTAGAGAAGTCTGCTTCAATTCTTTCTTCTTCTGGAACATCAGTGGTAGCTATCAAACCAAGAAATAATAAATCAATAAAGTAGAACTCTACCAAGTCAATAACTAATGTGTCTGACTGTAGGTGGACAGCCAAACAAGAACCAATCAAAGTTCCAATATTAAAAAAAAAAGGCTTTTCAAAATAAATTTTTTAATCTTGATTTTTTGCCACATTTTAACATTAAATTACTAGCAATGAATATTTGAATAAAAATTATAGGATAAAAGCTGCTAATTCAGAGTAAAAAATGTTTTTCGATCCGGACGATCTAGTGAACCGAGGTCCAGTCCAGTCCAGCCATGCCCGGTTCCGGATTTTCCAAAATTAAAAAACTCTCATAATTCAGAATCTAGAAGCCCAAATAAAATTCTAGAGGTTAGGCATGTTTTTTCTATATATCAAGATTACTAACACTCTTTCAAAAGCTAAAAATTGGACAAAAATTGTTTTGTCATCCAAGATATGTCAGTCCAATACTTCACTCTAAATGATTTGCAATTTCTTTTTAGGAGTCCCATAAAAAGCTTATTAAGAATTTCTTATGTTTTTTTAAAGTGTTTCTGTTGTTTTCTTGCCACAAACCAACAAATTGCACACTAAAAATTATGCCTGTAAGCTTAACCAATCACAGCACATGTTTTAAAGACGTCTTGGGATTTCATGACCATTGACCAATCAAAACTCATGTACTATAGAATAAATACCTTGAGCTTGTTGCTGTCCATGCTGATCCTGTTCRCTACAAAAACCACTATCTCTTCCAGGTATCTGGGGCCCAGTCCCTTGCTTCTCATCACGCAGAGCTTGAGCCTGGATACCAGCCTCGTTTATCCCAGAATTCCTTGCTTCTTCTTCTATGGCACGTTTTTCTTCAAGGGTCATGTGAGACGATGCACTGTGATTCTACCATATTAGGAAATATCATTAGTTTATTACTAATAGATTTATAATATGAACCATGTTAACATAGTGAAAGAGTTGAAAATACTATAACACAATGAGTTGGTCTTCCTTTGTTTTTTCTAATTTCTCTCTCCCYAGTTCCTTCCCTCTCCCAAAATTTTCTCCCATCTTCTGTCCCATCCAGCCATTCCTCTCTGCACGGCTAAAAAAAAAAAGGCTGACTGGAAATGTACTTTTCTTTCTTTTTCTCTTTTGTATTTCTTCATACTTTCATTTTGGATTTGTTACCCTGTTGCTACGGAGATACCAGCCTGCCTCATGTTTGTGTTTTTAGATACCATTCCCCTAGAGCTAGGGTAACAGGTAACCCAACTATATATGACTGTACTTACCGCACAGGATTCCCTGTCATCTTCCATCCAGGGTGGGGTCAGATAGATGTTTTCGTCTGAGGGCCGACGAGAGTTCTCCATGGAGCGTGATTTCCAGAACTGAGAATAATCCTGCAATAAAACAGAGGACACACGAATATGAGTACAATATCTCTCATGGGTGGATGGATGGATGGAAAAATAGGTGAATGGATGGATGGATGGATGGAGAGAGGATATAAGTTAGTTTGGATATTCCTATTCCTATCTATAGTTAATAAAGTAACTAATAAATTAATGGTGAATATGTAAACCTACCCTTGTTGAGTCTGCATCATCTTCTTCATGCCAGGGGGGAGCTTGTCTTATTCGTTCCTCTACCACCATCTTACTGATAGCATAGCTCTTGTGATTGGCCTCTGTACAGGATAGATTCTATCGAATAAAACAAAGTCATGAGCAGGCCAAACCCTGAATTTCACATAATATACAAGACAGGGGGAGTATAGCACTATCTATAACTACAAATGCTGATTTTGTTAACCCAACTCAAAGAATAATTGCATGCTTCAAGAAGTAGGCATACAGATAACATTTGATATAAAAATGTATATATATATATTTGCTAGTTGCCATGACGGGGGGTGCATGCCTTGAGTGTACTGTAAAGAAACACCTACCCTGACGTGACCATCATCTTCGTCATTCCAGGGAGGGGAGAGGCATAACTCCTCATCAGATGGTAATCGACTGAGTTGCTGGCTTGCAATGCCAGATGGCATCTCTTGTTTACCAGAGATGCGACCAAAATCCTAGATATAAAAAAAATCAAATTCAGTAAGCAAAATCGCCATTCCAATTTTCGTAACAACATCTATTCAAAAAAGGCTTAAACGATGTAGCATAAAATTAAATGAACAGTGTACTAACCCTCAAGGAGTCTACTTCATCGTCATGCCAGAGAGGTGGCCGTTTGATGTGCTCTTCTGATGCTCGTTGATAAATTGCTTCATCTGTTCTCTCCATGTATTTTTCTTCCTTTTTTCTGTCATTACTTGTGTAATCCTACAAAAATAAATTACTTTGCATTAAAACTAAAACATAATAACAAGACTCCAACAACCGGTTATGATTTGCGATGATCTATGGGAAGGTTATCAAGGTTTTACACGGTCAAAAGGGCCGAGGGTCATCAGTACTTTTATTCATTCCTATATTCTGCCATAAAAAAACCTGAACAAAAAATTGCTTGGTTTATAATTTTACTCAAAGGTTTCTCCCTTGCTCTGGAAGCATATTATAAACATATAAATCCTTGGACTCGGAGCAAAAAATATTATTATAGAGATATGTCTGTATTGCACAGTTTTCATCAGTCAAATGAGAGAGGATTCCACTCATCATCAAGTAATTAGATTATTGTATAAGCCCTAGGAAGTTCATATCTTTTGAAAGAAGGAGGATTGTTGATTTTTCTCTGCTAGTTCTTATAGATTCCTCTATAGAAAATGGATACTTCATAAAGAACAAGTCAAAAGTATGGAGAAAGAATTTCCCTGTCACAAGAGACCTGTCACATACCTTCAATGAGTCAGCATCATCATCTTCCCATGGAGGAAGCTTGGACATGGCGTCAGTTTTGCCTGAAGCAATCTTCGTTGTCATGGTATTTGAGAGAGGAGCCTTGGGTATTTTGGTGTTTGATCTGGTTTCTCTTTCTGCTGCTCCAAAATCCTTCAAATAGATAATAAATATAATTTTATATTGTATCCAGAGATTCTGGTAGAGTGCGGAGATGCGCAATCACACTTTGGACCCAAAATTGCACCAAATCGCAATTTTTGATATTTTTCACACTTTTCCGACTTTTCTCCAAAGGATATGATGTTGTCATCATCACATCATCGGCATCATCATCATCATCAACACCATCATCAAATGTCATCTGCATCATCATTACCACCATCACCATCATCATCATCACCATCAATGTTTATCATCATCATCATCATCACCACCACCACCCTTATCATCATAGTCCTCATGTTTAATCGCCATCATAATCTAACATGCGTACCTTTACAGAATCACCATCATCGGCATAAGCTGCCTTCACCAACTCGTCAATCTTCTTCTTATCCAGTTGCCGTGGATTCAAGACTGGTGACATAACTGTCTTCACACTCTCCGTCGTACTTGTACTACTCCTTGGTCCACTTGCCCCTTTTTGAAGTAAAGGGCTCTGAGGTATACCAATATTTGGTGCCATAGCTGTAGCACCTTGTCTCTGATTGACCTCGGTACTTTGGGGCTGATCTGTGATGGCCATGGGAGGTCTTGACTTCCCTCCTACAGGAGCAGCTGATGGGATAGCCATCTGTGAATTAGCCTGTTTTGCTATTTGACCAACATTCTACAAACAAAGGAAAAAATATTACAAAATATAAACACTCTAGGAACAAGCGTGAAGAAAGATAACATAGGTCATGTCCAGTTTGGCATAATGTTTTCTTCTTTGAGGTAAGATTCTTTGCTTAAGTTACATCCACATTTATTTATATTTTCAAGCTCCAAGCGTACCTTTTTTTGTTGGTTGATCAATGTCTCTACATCACTGTCATCTGATGGCTCCTCTTCAGAGAGCTCCCACCTACAAGAAACAAAGTATGTTTCATTAAAGTGTAACTATTAACAAATAGGCCATTTGCATGATGGCACTATTTGACTACCATTCCCAAAATGCTTCATGAATTTTCTAAAGAAAATGTTTCCATCATGCAAATGGCCTATTGATAAGCTTGGGCATAAAGGTTTTCCATTTCAGACCATGTGTCATTCCCTTGAGTATCATTTCTTTGTTTAATGTTTACCACTTTCAGACCATGTGTCATTCCCTTGAGTATCATTTCTTTCTTTCTTTACTACGAATGTTTTTACAGCTATGTTTTCTCATTTCAGAGCAAACTGTGTCATTCCCTTGAGTATTATTTCTTTGTCCCCTTCTGGTTCCCAATCCATTATCAGAACATAATACAAAGGTAGCCCACTTCAACATGTCTTCACTAACCTTGGAGTTTCCCTCACATCCAACTGGTCAATGTTACGGTCAAAAATATCATCTGCAAAACAATAAATTTTACAAAAAAAAGTTTAATAATTAAAGCTTTCAATGCAATTATAGTGTGCAAGAACACTGCATATCTAATCCTTAAATCACTTGAAATGTATCCATTAGGACAATTAAAAGTTTTATAAAATAAATAAGAATAAGTTTAGAAACTTAGATAAAGTTTAAAAATCCAAATGATATTTCTGACRCCACTTCACGTCATTATGAAGTAATTATGAAAAATTAGTACGACTATGAGAATAAATCATTACTTTTCTAAGCWCATAAGATAAAGAGCCCTATGAGAGGACCTGCGTCCCTACCCATGAGTTTCCTGCAACGATTTGTATGCTCAACTGAGCCTATCATTAACACATCTGGTAGATACGTTAAGTAGAAAATATGTTAACAAAGACCTACAGGAAGGGTGTAAATCTTAGTCTTAAGCATGGAAATAGCAGTCTTATCGTYATATTTAATAAAGAATGTCTAACATATTTAGCCTTACGTGAGCAAAGTTACAGTGACAAATAATAATTATTATTGACTTGATCATAATTTGACAGTATTCATCCYGGCTGTCTAACAGACAGCCAGTCTCTAATAGTACGACACATATRAAAAATCTTAGTAAAAATCCGAAATATCTTGCTAAAACGCTTTACCAGACAAGGATTAGTTCACAAAATATGCCTTCAAAACAATTAAATAATACATTTTTCACTAACTTCAGAACTCTGTGAAAAAAATTCTGGATTTTGATCGTAAATAACAAACAAACAAACAGTTTATTGTCAACATGAATACTCTATAAAAGCCTTTCTTTAAGACTAGATTCAAAGTATATATTGAACGAATTTATTCCTTAGAAAAACGGGTTGAAGTTTTTTTTACATATTTGAAAAATCAGGGTTGATTTTCAAGAAATATTCTGGTAAAACAAAGTTGTCAATGAATGGATCTTGTGTTATGGTGGGAAGCCAAGATAATGTCAGAAACATTACGATTAAAGATACATGATTCATTCATAATTCTTAGATATTTCAGAATCATAGGAAAAACCTCTCGCATTAACGTTTATTTAGAAGAGAAACCTAAGCAGATTGAGTTGAGTAGAGATTYACGATCAAGAAAATACGAAACATGTTGCTTCACGCAGACATATCTTCGAGAAAAAGTCTAGAAAAATTCCTTATTTTTAACGCTAAATCGTGTATTTTTGAGTCATTTTATAAACGACCGATCCCTAATCAGCTATTTTCGTTTCCTGTTATCTTCTTAGTAGCATCACTTTAGGGTAAGATTTTGAGAACAGAGACTTTAAAGATGAAAGGAAAGCTTACCTTCAAATTCGTCCATGTTGTTGTCGCTTGTGTTAGTGAACAGCAATATTGAGGGTTTCTTGTTGTAAATCCCTTTTCATATGCTGMCAAAGCCGTCGGTGTCTTCAATAAGATATAAAAGAACAGCCACGGAAAAGTTGCAAGGACATGTGCGGCAAGATAACAAGACACGGCTTGCTTAAAACCGCCAGTTACTTGAAAGACTTCACCGCAAAGAAGCAAAGGAAGACCGTCATTTTTCACAACCTTCAAACATTCACTTCATTTAACTCCAATTTTCTCTAAAAATATGCTTCTAAACGACTCCGATTTCTGYATACACTCTCTCCTATAATCATTTAAAAGATTTCCAGAGCGAGAAGTTGATTTCGGTTGTAGGAATTCAGAAAGATGCAAAACAAAACACGGCTTTTTTAGACAGAATTTTTAAGAAGCCATTCGGAGGGGAGCCTTGTTCTGATTGGCGCGGGGAAGCTGAGCCCAATATGGCGGCATTGATCAAACTACACACGTAAAGTCTCCCCGAAAAGTAATACTTTTCTTTCTTCTTTACACCAAAAGCTTAAGTTAATGAAAGCCATGACAATTTTTACATTTTGTGGTAAAGTTTGGATGTAATTAGATCTAACTGTGTGTTAATTTTTGTCGATGTTATAAAAGCATCACTGATCAAACTGCAAGTTCTTACAACTGATTCAAAATGAACTATTTCTTCATAAAAACTTGTCTGTCTGTCCTCATCTGCCCTTCTTTAGGTTTAGGACATTTTTACGTTTAGTCAGAGTGAGATACTTCAATGTTTATTGGCTGGTTTTGGATTACGATTTAAGTTTTACGTTAAATGAATAAAAGTAAGGTCTGAAAATTAAAGAATATGGGTAATTTTCATTTCATTTCATTTCATTTTTGTAATTATTTACATTCAAACGTTGACTGAAACCTAGAAACAAACTTTCTTTTATTACAACAACAGCAACATCAACAAAAAAAACAAACAAAAAAACAAATTTTTTGCTCGTTTTACAGCGTGTCCAATAAGCCTCTCAAAGGAACATCTTTTGAAGATCACCAGTTCACATCGTGTGTCGTTTCTGATAACTAACCGTCTAGCCAGGATAGACAGTTAATACCAGTTTTTTCCAAAATCACAAGGTCGAAAAACAAACTCTGATGAATATTGTATTTCTGATTTCAARATAGACAAATTTTTGGCCATCGAAAGAAGAAGAAAAATTCCGTGCATTTTTAATACTTATATTGGGCTTCCTGTGTCAATTGTTACCTGTCGTTACCATAGTTACAAGATATATYGGATCAAATTTTCCAATTTTATTTCGATGAATGCGCATATTTTATCACCTCCTCTAAATTGTTTGGATTTTCAAAATTAAGGTTTTGAAAAATAAATGTCTTTAAACGACCGGTCTTTCCTAGTCGAGACAAAAAATTGTTTAAACTATGCAGGTACCCTTATTATCATTCCACTCTCCCTTCGTCACGGGATTGACAAAGCCCTTTGACAAATAAAAAACGCTGAAAAGGGTGGTTAAGAAATGCTAAAAAATAATCTAACGATCATATCGGGTTTTCAGTTTAATAGTTAATTTGTAAAAAAATGAAATGTTGTTTATAGGTTTTTTGCTGAGAGTCAGACAAGAAGTTGAAAATGAAGACGCTAGTTTAAGGGGAATTTTTTAAAAATCTTTTCTTTTCCCTTGCTTCTTACTTGCTTCTCTCTATGTAGCTACACAAATAAATTAATAACAACGACACAAGTAGTAGCAACAAAAAGAATATTGTTATGAACGTTATTTGAAAATATCTTCCGGACCTCATTATTTCAGGAGTGGGTCCAGGGTTCGTAAATATAGGTTACTAGTCACCCCCTTTTGCTCAAATTTCTCAGTATATCGTAAGTAACAGCCCCTGTATTTCAGTGTCGATCAACACTAAATATAAATTGATCAAGTTGTAAAAAACTTCCAGTCAAATTATTCATTTTGCAAGACAACAAATTATGATTATAAACAATACGACACCCCGAAATACTATATATAGTAACTAATTTTAAGGCTTTTTAAATAAGAGGTCTACAATAGCAAAGTTTGACATTAATTAATATTATTTAGATTTAAAATATTTTGCCTCAAGGACCTTGGACCCCTCCCACCCCTCCCATACATACCTTGGCGTTGCACATGCGTATTGAAAACTAGTAGCAACTGCTTATCATTTTGAACGGGTAGAAAAGAAGCCTCGACACATGTAGCTGCAATAACCAGCCAACCATCGAGTCTAGACTGCTAGATTTTTGTCCGGACCGAGATTAATCTTTCCTCTAAACTTGGGAGAAGATCCAGGGGCTGATCTTTTCGCAATGGCCAACGCTCCGACAAGCAATGATGCATGTTTGAGCATTGTCCATTCACTGATGTGTCACCGACAAGGAGGGGAGTCCGAAGCTTTTGCAAAAAGAGCTATCGAGTCTCTAGTTAAGAAACTCAAGGAAAAAAAGGATGAGCTAGACTCTTTGATTACTGCTATAACATCTGCAGGAACCCACCCTTCTAAATGCGTAACTATCCAACGTACTTTAGATGGAAGGTTGCAAGTTGCTGGACGAAAAGGTTTTCCACATGTGATCTATGCTCGGATATGGCGTTGGCCTGACTTGCACAAAAACGAACTACGACACGTGAAATACTGTCAATTTGCCTTTGATTTAAAATGTGACAGTGTATGTGTGAACCCTTTCCACTATGAGAGAGTTGTATCGCCAGGTTAGTCAAAGATCGCCTCTAAAACGTTCTGTTATTACGATGACAAGTAAAGTTTATTGCTTATATTTTTGTATACAAATGGCTTTATTCGTCTTTTCTATTGTCTAAGATCTCCAAAATGTCTACAACTGTCATATTCACATTAATTTTCTTCCTCACAGATATCACTGGGCTAAGTCTTACAAGAAACTCAGGTAAGGGGAAAAATTCAAATGGTATGATTTTTACACTAATTTATCTCGACATGTCACTATTTTATTGCAGTTTGAATTTCAAAAACTAAACGAAAATCAATCTGAATTATTTTATTATCCATATGTATCAAAAATATATCGAGAGTTTTTGAAGAAAAAGATTCATTCAGTTTATTTGAAGGCATTATGTATGTGACAGTAGAAGATGCGATTTAACAAAGGGGTTCGAGTTGTATTCATATCTCGAGATACGAGACAGTAAGTCTGAGTTAGCACAACACGTGCTGTAAAAACTAATGGCCAGAAACCTTAATACAGTATGTCATGGCTCAAACATTATCTGATGTCTTCTAGTCTCTACATTAAAGCTTTGTTTACACTCTAAATGTCCTTTGACTACGTATTTATTGGACTCTACTACAACAACATCAAATGAAAAATATATTTGTAAAGTATTTCTGTCTAATCCAATGTGATGTCGTTTGGTCACGCTACTGCAAAAATACTAATTATTCTGGTCTGTATGCGTAACTTAATCCCTCATTACATATCCTTGGGAAATCAGTTATTTCAAGGTCTTAAAACTTGAGTTTTTGTGGTGATCAACTAATATTAATACTTCGGATCCAAGAAAACCATTTTAGTGTTGATATATGTTGGAAAAATACCTCGTTTGAAATAAAAGCCAGTGTGTATATTCTGAATAATTCAAATCTTTATTGCATATAAATATCCCTCGAGGTTTTGGTTTTCTGGGGACCTAAATTGTACAAAAAAATATTCCGATTTACAAGATACGAATTTTTATTTATAAATTAAACAACAAAAAATCTAAYATATGATATGATAAGGAATTAATGATTGTATTGTCATTTTTATCTCAATGGTCTCGTATGCCTTTGATCAAGGTGGTTTTGTATCTAGAGACACTACGGCTACATACATTCCCGATTGTTGATACAAAGACATTAATTACAAATATCAACTTCTTCTTTAAACATTAGATACATATATACAAGCTTAACTAGATTGGAAAGACCTGTATTATATATATATATATCCCTTTTTTCCACCAGAAAGACTTGTTTGTTTATATATATATGGAATCATATTTAGAAATTTTATTTCTGGAAGGTATAATTTATGAATGAAAATTGTAAAAAATTCAAAGGAAGTTTTTCATTCATATGCATAACATTATGCACCTAGAGATTGAAAGAAAATAGATCTTATGATTATTGAAAATTTAACCTTTTTTCAGTACTCATCACTTTCTAATAATAAATTTACTCTTTAAATCCAAAGTCATGCTTGAAAATAGTTACAATCACCTCATATAAATATTTTAAGTCAACTTATAAAATTTGTAGCAAAACTTAAATTAGCAAACCAGTTGTATAATATATAATGGAACACCTTTTTTTAAAGTTAGTATAGTTTCCATGTAACATAATGATCATCAAACAATCTTATAATTATGGAATCTATATATTGTAGCTATATCTATATTTTGCATAATTATAGTGTTTATACTAATTTGTTTTACTGTCGTGACTTGTTCTCTTTGCTGACTATATGTAAATATATAAGGCATTAATTTGACTCCTATAAATTAATATAATATTTGATCTGTTAGAAAAATTGTCACAATAATGGTAAAAATGCAAAGTTTCTTACAGATTACTCTTAAACTAACAAAGATTTGAATTTTGAAATTATTTTTGTGAAATTTTAACAAAGAATTGTATGTGTCCAGCTTGATAACAAGGCTTGGCAACTGCGAAATTTCTTTGCAAAAATTTTGTAAAAAATGTATCATTGAAAAGATTGTCAGTATATGCCATATATTGATAGACAATGTTCTTCTGTTTTTGCAAGACTACATCAATATGATTATCAATACAGAGATATCTAACCAAACTTGAACCAAGTTGTTTGATTCACAAGTATTTGATATGTTTGGCTTCTATATTTACTTGCATTATTAATTAGCTAATCTGTTTTTAGAATTTCAATGGATTAGAGTGCTGACACACTAAATCCGTGAAACAAATACTAATTTTTAGCACTAAATAGTGATAATTAAACAATGGAAAACAAAGGATTCTGTATGAAATAGTATTATAGCTGAATAGTACTATTTAATGTTCATGGTTTTAGTGCGTGCACTCTAGCAACAAAATAGTAATTTTATTTCTTACAATTTAAAAAAATAAGAAAATAGATACTTCTTTTTGTCGATGTTTTGGATTTTTATTCCTTGAAGCAACAACCAATTATGCTATCTAATGCAGTTCACATCAAACTTTCGTTAACCTGTCGAAATTGTTGCACAGGCCTAATAACTCTAATACCTTCTTATAATATTTTAATTAGATGTCTGCTTTCTTTTTTTAAATGAAAAGCTAGTGACAAAAAGTTACAACGTTTTGATGGCATCTTGTCATCATTATTATCAAGTACTATACAGTAAGATGTCATAGAGACCGTAAATTTTTGTTACTAGTTTTTCTTATAAATCCTATTTCTAAAGTTAGCCTCATAAGATTCTGCTTTTTTTATAATCTTTATATAATCAAGTTAGGGCCACAAGTTTATTAGCGTTGCTATTACGTACTACCCTCGTAAAATAAAGTCTTTATTATTATTGTATTATTAAAATCAAATATTATGTCATTGATTCAGGAAGTTCTTAAAGATGTCTTTCATTAATTCAATATATATAAATATCAAAATAATATAATAATATTTAAAACAAAAAAAAATACTTAATAGTGTTAAACTAAATTATAAAGATATGAGGCCTGTGAAACTTTGTTTTTCACATTGAATATTTCTTTGAAGATAAAAAATTATAAATAATAAAGAGTGTGAAACTAGAGGCCTAGCTTTAAAACTTTTTACGATTTTTGCTTTTGCACTGAAATATTTATTCATTTGAAGATCATTAATATATAAAAAACAAAAAAGGTAGTAGAGTGTGTTCGACTAGCTAGAGGCCTGCAAATTAACACGTCAGCACATACAGGCCACATGAAGGGCGTTTTCTAACTTGTATCAGTCTGACGTATGTATACCTTAATGGCTTATCATTTTGCCTTCATTTGCCACAAGAAGAACTCAGCTTTATGTTAACAAAAGGCTACCTGTTTCATTGTCTTCACCTCGTGACAGACTAAACACATTGCCAGAAAACAAAGGATAAAATGTTGACCAGTTAGTGTTGTGATATATTAATCACTTTTAAGAACAGGCGTCATTGAAGCTAGTTTGTTGAGAAAAGTTGACAATTTGTTGTCATCATACTTACATTACATGCATACATACATACTTACTTTATTATTTAGTACCCCTTTTTGATAATATTTACAAATTATAAATATATAGATTAACAAAAAATTGGTATTAAGCTACCTATAATAAACCAGTGGTTAGCCAAAATAGGTTGCTGGCATATTAATTACAATAATTATATAATATTTAATAGTTGAAAGAGGTATTTTGATTCTAATTACAAATAAATTATATTCATATAAATGAAAAAATATTAAATATATTACAAGAATTAAATGATTTAAACAGCGAAATTAGTCAAAGAAAATATAGAATAAAAAAAGAACAACCTTAATATCAAAGGTTGTCACAAAGAAAAACGAAACTTTTTTCAGCTCTTGTCTCAAGAAACTCACATAAAGTACTCTCTCTTAAAATTCAAGTGTTTCCTCTCAAAATAATTAAATTTTAAAACCTATTCATTAATGGTGAATTGAAATATCAAGTTTAGTAAAGCAACTACTACTGTTTTGATATAAACTAATATTAATATTATTAGCAGTAAATTTGTGTACCTTAATAAATATATTTATCAAGATCTATATTTTCACTTTTTTATGTCGATTGTGCTTAATTTGACGTCATTGTACTGTTATGTTAATGACTTCAGGTCTTGAAGCCTACCTATATTGCCATGATATTCCTAGTTACATTGTCCTGTTGATCATGATCCACATTGCTTCAACTTAGAATTGTTACAGCACTTATTACATACATGTAGAGTACGTTTCTGTTAAGCAATCCCATTTGATGACACATCATAATTTGTAAACAGTGGCTGGCAGGTCTGTTTTTCCACTAATTTCAGCTTGTAGGCTGACGTGTAAGAAAGGCAATCGTAAAATGTTGGGTGCAGTGGTAGAACATGTTGCAAAGCTCTAGGTTTGAAGAGGTTTAATAATTCACACACATTTTACTTATTGAAGAGGTAATATATGAACAAATAATCGCAATTAATATAAGAATATAATAATAGTTATTGTAAAGTATAATAATTTTAATAAAGTGTGAGTGCATGGTTGTTGAAAGCTAGAGGTGAGGTCTATATCTTTGGTTCTACATGTAGTTCTTTGTTCTGCTTGTTTAGTCTTAAAGTTCTAATGATGTCCATAGAAATACCCCATCTTGACATACATGAGTGCCTTAGGTATTTCCTGTCTTTTGTTTCATTTATGCAATACTCATTTTAACCCATTTGCAACTTTCAAAAAAGAAAACGTATGACTATTTTACTTAGAAACATCAGTATTGCTACACTATAATAACTTTTTACATGCAAGGCTGCTTTTTTCCCCCATATATATATTAGATCAGGGACAGGGGTTGACCTGATATGCAGTGAGTCTGGTCAGACAAAAGCTTTTATCAAACACTGTAACTATAAAATAAAAGCAATACTTTCATACCATGAAAGCTGGCGGTAATTCAGTCAGGTGAAACCGCTAAAATAATATGGCGGCTGCTACGTGTCGCACTGTTACTGCATGTCCTTTTCACCAATTGCATTCACTTTTCACTTGTGATTGCTGACCCTGGTGTGTACTCTTGAAAGATCTGCTTTGGGTTTTGCAATCTCGAGTAAACATTTTTTTTCCAAAAATCTAGATTGAAAGCTTTTTTTCCTACTTCACTTCCAATACTTACAGAAGAGTCCTGTCAGAATGTCTGGCCGGACAAAAAAAAGTCTGGCCAGACTGAATTTAACATTTACCAGTCAAAATCACTAATTTATCGGGGAAATCTCAGATGTCCAGCATAACTTGCAGGCTTATACATATTTAGGTTTCCTTTTTATTCACTTGTAACATATGAAAAGTTAATTTGGATTATTGTTATTTGATCTCCCCAGATGAGCTGATATGGCTCTTGGAACAAACAATCCTGGGGCTCAGATTTGTTCCAATCTTCTTTCATATGTTATTCTATTCTATTCCTTTAAAGCAGAAAATATATAGTTTAGTAAAATAAAAAAAGGTTACATAGCTAGCACGATTCAACTGTAAAAGCTGTTGCACGTTCTTTTGGAACTAGTCTTTGTTCTGGTTCTTGATTTGGGGTTGTCATTTTGATTACTAATTATATGTCGCAGCTGCGTGTATGTACAGTGCCTGAGGCGTTTTGTGATTGTTTCTTTGTTTTCATTCAACATCCAATATCCATTCAAAATCAGCTACAATATTCAAAGGAAAGGTCTCTGATTGTCTAACATATAAAAGTTTCTTTGGGTGACATATATATACATACGTGGCCATTAATTTTTGGATGAAGCACATGGTTAGTGCACTGTAAAATTTGCATTTTAATAAAGCTGGTCTCTTTATCGACAAATATTTATAAAGAAAAATTATTCAAATAAAAAATGAAAAAGCAATTTTGCCATGAATATTTTGTTCTGCTGGGAAAAAAAATCTTTACAAGACTGATTATTGTTTGAAGTGTTCTGTTAGTTGCGGCAATAGTGCATTGTTATTTTGTTATAATGATAGTTAATGAAACAAGGTTGAAATAAATAAATATGGGTTAAGACATCAATATGTATTATCAATAGATTAACTTGCATTTCTTTTAATGACTGGGTTTTCAGATTCGTCCTTCGGAGGCGGTGGACAAAGTGAGCCGGACTTTAGACAAGCCGTTGTACCCACTGCTCATCACTTCCCTGGTGGACAAACAATTCCTCCCCCAGTAGGACCCTCACAGGATTTGTACCCTATACATGCCGCAGTCGAAAGTGGTGGTATGGGACATGCCTCACAAGGTAACATGAACCAGGACAAAGTCATGTGTTCGTAATGAATGAATTAACTTCACATGATGATGATGATACATGATGATGATACATGATGATGATGATACATGATGAT